TGTTGCAGTTTCGACATGTGTCCCAACAACTGCTCCGGCCGAGGAGAGTGCAGGATCAACAACAGCAGCAACGCTCTCGAGTGTGAATGTGCCAAATACTGGAAGGGAGAAGCCTGTGATATCCCCTACTGCTCAGATGAGTGTGGGGTGCCCGAGAGGGGACATTGCGACTTGAATGAGACCAAGGCGTGTTTGTGCTCTGTGGGCTGGCAAGGTGAGTGGCCCGATTAATACGGAGAAGCTCTTGCACTTTAATTGGGACTATTTGAGAAAGTTCTGCTTGATATGTATCAGCTTTTTGGCTAAGAACTGAGTATCTGATGCTTCCACCTACCTTTTGATGTCAAAAGATTGTAAGTCACTGGTAAAAAATTATTATTAATGGAAATTAAATTTAAAATGGATTTAAAATTCTTGCATTAGTGTGCATCTAAAGCATGGTTTAGCCTTGTAACAGTAGTTAACCTGTTGGAACACACAAAATGCCTTGTCCTCACGTCCAGCGATGCTGGTCAGCCATGGCGGTCTGTTTGGACCAAACATATGTGTTTCCTTTGCAAAAATAGACTGAGAATTCATCTCATGTGAAAACATGGAATCATTTGGTTGGATAAGACCACAACTCTGTTACACGGGGATTCACTTTCATGAGTGTCTAAGGACCTCTTCAGCTTGTGCTGCACCCTCTGTTGTGACCCTGTGTGTGTGGATGGTGTCACTGAGAAGGGAAGAGCATCCACGTGGCTTTTTACTTTGCTGAGACCTTGCTGCTCCTCTTCTGCCTTGCCATGGAGATCTAAAGGGAAGCTTGACAGTGAAAAAATCTGTTTAAGAAAAGCAGAAATACAGGAAAAAATAAACGAATAATTCCCAAAACTGCATTTCTGAGAAGGAGAGGAGTGAAAAGAGGGAAAGGCAGCTGTACACCCTTGGGGTTTTGTAGCATGATGCTGAGCAGATCTCCTGGAGCTTTAACTGTGTTAGGGCTTCTACCGGCACATGGTTGGTAGAGAAGTGCTGGGTGATGCCCTCGTGGTGTGGAGTGGGAGAGGTCTGCACTGTGCCTTCCCATAATCACAGAACCATTCAGGTTGGAAGAGACCTCCAAGATCACCCAGTCCAACCTCGACCCAACCCCACCATGGCCACTAAACCGTGTCCCCAAGTGCCACATCCAGGCGCTTCTTGAACCCCTCCAGGGATGGGGACTCCACCACTGCCCTGGGCAGCCCCTGCCACTGCTTGACCACTCTTGCAGTACAGAAATTCTCCCCATATCCAACCTCACCCTCCCCTGGCACAACTTGAGGCCATTTCCTCTCATCCCATCGCTTGTTCCTGGGGAGCAGAGCCCAACCCCCCTCGCTACTCCCTCCTTTCAGGAGCTGCAGAGGGGATAAGGTCTCCCCTCAGCTCCTCTTCTCCACTTGAACCCCCCAGCTCCCTCAGCCGCTCCCCATCATTCGGCTGCTCCAGACCCCTCCCCAGCTCCGTTGCCCTTCTCTGGCCACGCTCCAGCCCCTCAAAGTCCTTCTGGGAGTGAGGGGCCCAAAATTGACCCCAGGATTCGAGGGGTGGCCTCAGCAGTGCCCAGCACAGGGGTGAAAACACTTTCCTGGTCCTGCTGGCGATGCTTTCTGATACAGGCCAGGATGCCGTTGTCTCCAGCAGAGGAGGACAGAGCACAGCGTCTGCTTTGCATCACTGATTCATCAAGTCTGGACCTGCTTTTCACTTGGAAAACAATTTTAGATTTGAAGTCTGTGGTTACGGTTGGAAAACTGCACCCCAGGTCCATCACAGATTGCTGCTGTGGGCAAAGAAATGAGGATCGCTGCTTCCACCTGCTCCCACCATCTCTGTCCCCTGTGGTGCAGGGTATTGACCTCTGACTGAAACACGGGCTTTGGAAAAAAATAACCAACTTAATCTTTCAACCTGATTTTCCCAGGTCCTGGCTGTTCAATTCCTGTTCCTGCAAACCAGTCCTTTTGGACTCGGGAGGAATACTCGCTTCCAAAACTTCCTCGAGCATCTCACAAAACCGTCATCCATGACAACAAAATGTGGATCGTTGGAGGCTACGTCTTCAACCACTCTGACTCGCAGAAGGTTTTAGCGTGAGTATAAACCTCGGTGATAAAGTCCGAGTGGAGGAACTTGGATTTGAGAGTTACATTTAGAGATAGAAACGCTGTGCTTTGGCCTACGCTCCATCTCCAGGGAAAGCAGCAGGGATAAAAACTTAGACTCGCGTTTGAGGTGTGGGAAAACGCTGCTGAGATGGGCTGATTTTGGAGAAGTAAAAGCATAAGGGTCCTGATACTCAGTCAATTTTTGATTCATCTGCTTCTGGCAGCTTTTAACTATTCACTATATATTTCTAAGCTGGCTTCTAAATGAGATCTGGCCTCCTATTCAAAGGGGGTAGTTTCGCTTCTGTGTTTTTAGCCTTTCCTTGTATTATTTCAGATGGTTATTTATATGATTTCAGAGCGGTTGTCTCCTTCATTAATACAGACTGATGACTGTGGATGTTTATGCATAGTAGATGGGATGCACATCACATTTATGCGGTTAGTTGAGGAGATTTAACAGTAAGTAAGATACCAAATAGTGATTGTGTACCTCATGGACATCCACCGTAAACAAGAACATTTCAGGCTCCCCCTTGAGCTTGACAGTATTTA